CTCGTTTACGTGACAAACAACCTTCTTCAAGTGAATACGAAAGATTTATAAGACTTCTTCACTTTTATATTGCCCTGGTGTTTATGAGAAAGAAGTACCTTTAGCCTATTTATATTCTCCATTTTATTATGGCACCTCACGCCGCGCCGGTTCTTTAAAATAAACAATAATACATAAATATATTGGGACATTGACACACAGCACCATCTAGTTCCGTGGTAAGCTACAAGGCTTGTGTTATGGATACCAGATGGTTGATACACTACACTTATATAACTTTAAAATGTAAATACATGCATATTATAAATATAAACACCTATGACTGAAGCAAAAACATTCGTGCTCATCACACAAATGAATGCCTTCATCGGGACTCGAAGCCACGATCGCTGGAACAGCAAGTAGGGCCACTACAAACTGAGCCAAACGTGTCGTCAAATGAAAATTGAACGATTTAAAATGAATATAATTTACTTAATCTGCATACCTGTTAAGTACTAATAAACACCCTCTCGTAAGCTATTTTTAAGTCATGAGTGAAGAATTGAGTATAATAAATAATAAAGTACGTTATACTAAATTATTCCAGGTAAGAAAAGGCGTGGCTTAGCTTTTCCCCTTGATCCATGGTTTAAACATACAATGAGCTCCTTAACTATGATGTTGTCCTGGTATTCATGGGATACGTGATCCCATAAACTCCCAAGTTTTATTTGCATAAAAAATATTTTTTAATCATAGATAGATTTTGGTTTATTTGTTATTTAGTTGATCAGGAATTGAAAAAAATGTTTTAGTACAAAAAATGGCGATGACGGGACACAAGTAATAAATTGTACAATAAAATAACGCAATTACAATAATTTATAACAAGACATTCATATAAACTATCACCGGGGGCGTAGCTCAGATGGTAGAGCGCTCACTGAAATGCGAGAGGTACCGGCATCGATACCCGGCGAATCCAAGTTTTTGTACTTAAAAATACCTTTGATTAGGTATATTAAATGTTCAACTAATCTTAGTTTAATTTCGCGAAATTCTTGCATTAATAATGGTATACATACTCGTAGATCTAACTTAATAAAACTTTTTTTTTTCTTTTAGGTATAATTGATAATAAATTAAAAGTGAAATAGCTAAAGGGTTGCAAGCCTATCCTTAATGTCACCAGGAGAACATGTCTTAGGAAGAGTTAACCGAAAAAACACAAGGAAGTAGGGGCGTTTCAATACATAATTTATGAAATAATTTCTTTACATAATACGCTACCTGCTTCCTTTCAACTCGCAAGGGTGAGAAGATAAAAAAAAGTAATAAAGCTATATTGCTTATAGAAAATAGATATTTCGAAGGCCACATTCCATTTTACTCAAATAAAAGTATACTAAGTTCTTTTATTGTATATATTTATGAATTCGTATTGTACGACATATTTTGTACTTTAAAAGTAATAGGCTAGATCTTTGTATGATATAAAAAGTACATTTCTTTCTTTATATATGTAATAAAATTCTGAGTCCAATCTTAATTAATACATTTTGGAAAATCTCATTGAAATAGTCATTATTATCGATACAGGCACCGAATCTATAGTTTTTAGATTTTTTATCTGTCTGCCTGTTTGTGTCGGAACGCATCACGAGAAAACCACTGGACAGGTTTTGATGAAATTTGGTGTGGTGATAGCTCGTTATCCGGGTCAACATATAGGATACTTTTTATTGCGGGAAAATATCTCATCGTTGAGAAATCTATACTAAACCTTAAAACGTAAATAGGGACGAATCCGAGCGGATCCAGGGTGACTAGCTAGTTATTAAATATTGCTGCAAAACTGATTCAATTTACGTATAAATTTGGCTATATTAGAAATAATTTGTTTTTCTTTGTAACCCTTTATGAAATTACATTCGTTATAATTGTAAACCGATATATAGCGATAGGCTTTTATAGCTGGGTAATTTGAATAAACACAATGTCCTCGCTGGGAGCGATGAGGTTAGAATTTTAGTAATCCGTATATTCACGTGATATATGTAGTGTGTAGATGTGGGTGGGTGTACGTTCAGTAAAACAAAGGGAACGGGAGGATTACATTACACACAGAATTCTCTTATAATTTAAACGCAAATGGCTAAAGCGTAGGTCAAAAAGAATATTGTATAGTGTGATATTAATTAATTTTATTTAGTGATAAATACACAAGAGAATATTATATGGAAAAAAACCCCTAAATACTTGACTAGTAGGCATAAGTAGATGTGACTATGTTTTGCCGGTGTAGAGAAGCCGGAGAAGTTGAATACACAAAAGGCATATTATTTCGCATGGCATACAACTTAACTTTTGGTTTATATGAAGCATTTATCTGTGAAAGCATTTAAGCTAATCATATTTATTACATCATAATTTATCATTTCATAATTTGTTAATAGTTACATGTGTTCTTTATCATTATAATTGAATAACTAAAAATAACGTAGAAAACATATAACGTAGTACGTAAGTTCAACGAACAAACTGTAAGAATCAAAGATATAACCAACAAATAAAATAAAATTATAGTTACTTGCTGTATCGACATTGATATGCCAATAAACGTGTATATGTAGGCAATAGACAGATTTTTTATGTTATTTATATATTATCGATTATATTATACAAGTTCTCAAACCAACAACAAACGATTGCTATATTTGCTACACGTAAAAAGGCAATCAACTTAGTTTATATAATAAATTCTACTCGAGTCAGTAACAGAACAAATAAATGTATAGAGGAAATTATTTCTGCATTTACAAGTACCTATCTACTTGCCATCCAAATCATCTGAAATTCCCCGTACCCATGACACTCGAGCAACAAGCGCACTCCACTTGCGTTTCATAACGGATATGAGAATCGCTGAAGAGTCGCTAGTTAAGTTATAAAATAAACAAATATTATTTTTATGATACACTGTATCTCTTTATAGCATGTAAATTAACTTATATGTATCTCAATAAACTAACAAGTTTTTCTTAATACTTTCTTAATTTTTCATTTGTAAAAGTATATATTAATAGTATTGCTTAGTAAGTTGTTTTTTTTAAATAAGAGCAAACTAAATTAAAATTATTATCCTTCATTAATTTTAACTTTTTAAATTACACATAGAACAATTTTTTATATTTTTCTTTATGGTTATAAATATAATAATGGCAACACTAAATATAGATTACTAATTAATATTTTTAAAATTGTAATAATTATAATAATAACAGCAAAAATTAAATAAATAATATTCCATATTCAATTATAAAACTAATTAAAATTATAAAAATGTTTAAAGTTAAAATATTGTAAGGTAATTTTTGCAATTTTCATTTTGTTAATTGTGTGTAGGCTGTCTGTAACAACTATACCTTCAAGACATGTAACACCTCAGTCTCTCCCGTGACCATGGATGCTGTAAAGCATTCGAAACGTCGGGAAACAAAAATCAAAATAAATCCGCGAAATAATCCGAAAAGATAGTTTTATTTAAAATAACAAGTTTTTCCTTTAAAAACGACATCAAGCAGGCTCGGATTCGCCCCTAGGTACGTTTGAACGGTTAGTAGGGATTTCTCAGAGATGAGATATTTTCCCGCTGTAAAAAGTATCCTATACTAGTGTTGACCATAGGTATAAAACCAGGTTTTCTCTTGATGCATTCCCAGACAGACAGACAGACAGACAGACAGACAGACAGACAGACAGACAAAAAATCTAAAAACTAAAGTGTCGATCTCTGTATCAATAACGCTTGAAGGGTCGCGGATACCCCGGCATGTCAGTTAACAATTGATTTCCCGGAAACTAACCACGGAGGCGTAATGACTATTTCAATAAGATTTTCCAAAAAAATCAATACACAGATTCAACTCAGAATTTTATTATATATATATATATATATATATATATATATATATATATATATATATATATATATATGTCAGTCATTCGATATAATGTACATATGTACCTACCAACATATAATATATGTATATCAAAAAGCTGACATCATTGGATACAATGGATGTATGGATGGAAGATTTATTGCTAAATACTTGTTTATAATGTTTAATGTTTACAACAGCTAATCACTTTAAAATCACTTGAAATTTTCGTTTTTAATCTTGACCAAAAATAGATTTTGTTAAGGAAAGTAGACTTTGAAAAATTTCATAAAAAACGTTGACAAAACAAGAAATAAGTATATAAAAACCATATTAAGTTAATTTTGATACAATTCATAAATTAATTACAATAAAAGGCCATCTGAAAGACATGACTTATTTTTTAACGCACGTTTCATTACTTCAGAAGACTTCTAAAAGCTCCCGTTTAGTTTTCATAAGAAGACCTTCCCCTCATTCCTTAAAATTTTTCTTGGAATTCCCACTAGTACCAGGGCATAAGAAAGTAACAGGAGTTCTAAAATATGCCTCACGTTGTACACTTTTATTAAGCAGGGCAAAAAGCGTGTAGTAGTTGAAGAGGGCGCTATCAAATAAGGGTCCTATACCTTACAAATGAAAGGGCGTGTCAATATCAACCATTCATAGTGGGCTGTTATAACCGTGAAGAGGTAGTTGGATTGTACTACAAATCTTTCATATGAGAGAACTTTACGCGAGCATACCTTTTTTCATAAAGAAAATGAAAAATTTACCCATAGTGAGTGCGCCTCGTTCTTTTTACGTTATCTAAAATGATTATACTTATTTAATAAATATAAAGTAAATAATATAATATTTTAGATTTAAAAACAACAAGCAAAAAGTAACACTTCCTTAGATTTACGCAAATAATTTTTTAATTCGCGGATTTATTTGGATTTTAGGTTCCCGACGTTTCGAATGCTTTCCAGCAATCATGGTCACGGGAAAGTCTCTCTCGTCTCCGAAAAGATAGTTTTATTTAAAAGCTAAAAGTAGTATAATTAAGTTAAAATTATAAGGCTAGGTACTTACCGGCGACAACAGTCTCGGCGCGGGGGAGCCGTTGCAGCACATGGTGTATGAGACCGACGTCGGTGCAAGCCTGCAGGTTTCGCACGCTCTTCCGCAAAATCGCGATGAACACTGACCAGATTTCCGCCTGGATGGTAACGAATAAAATATATTAATCAGGCTACTAAAATTGGACAATTATAATACTTTCGAAAGTTTATATGTGTGTTTGTATGTTCGTTTCTCCTTGACGCTGAAAAGACTAGAAGGGTTTTGATGAAATTTAATATAGGGATATAGGTACCTGGATAACACATAGGCTACTATTTATAACTAAAGACGCACTCGAACAAAGCGAGGGTAAGTCGTTAGATGCCTATATAAATGTTTATATAATTTATTCCGCGTATAATTGTGTATATACAATCCAAATATATATGAATTTCTCAAAACAATTTCTCAACTCAACTACCATAATGTGAAACGAAATGTAGCAAACTATTTTTGTTAAAAAAAAGTAACTAAATATACATTTTTAATTCAAATTAAAAGGGACAAGTCGTTGTTTTAATATTTTTAATTTAGGAAGTGCTCCATAAGGCGTCGCGATACGGCATTTTTAGCTGACAGCGCAATCTGTCTTTGTTTTGAACTCGAAAACGACGAGTTTTGTTGTCATAAAGAGCAGCTGACACAAATCTAGCTGAAAAGTTACACTGTAGATCCGTTGGAACAATGCCGGCGTATTAAAACATAATCCACTCGCCGCGTCCGTCCGTCCACGCGGGCGAGCGCCGAGGCAGACATTTCCAATTTCAAAGCTTCTCGTTTAATAGAGACCGCAGTGTAACTGTACAATTGAGGCTTGCGTAATATTTTTAATGAAATTCTTTTCTCTTTGAGATGATTCAAATTTAACAAACACTTAAATACCTGCCACCATTCGTCAAGATTTTGAATTTACATAACTAATATAATATATATTCAGTTCTTCAATACACGATATAGTTTAATACACATTCAGAAAATATATTTATACGTAGGTATATATATAGAAAAAACGTAATTCAATAACTAAAAAAATATTTTAATCTCAATAATTTTACTCAATTTTTTAGCAAAATCTTGCTTCATCGCATCACGTAATAACGTTAATCTGTAGATGTAAATATTGTTTACGAATCAATATACTATTTACAAATCGTTTCATTTGTAGCGTATAATGTAAATAAAATGAAATATTCTAATAAACATCGTCCTCCGGTAAAAACGTATAAAAACATCAAAGGCCAAAAATATAAAATGGATCTCCGATAGGATCAACTTACCATTTTAATTAAACAATTTTATTTATTTTTCGAATTTTGTCTAAAAAATTTGTTATATTTAGAAATAAGAAATTTTATGCCATTATATTATATACAATACTTCAAATGCAAAAGTTTGGATGGATGGATGTTTGTCAATCAATTACGTCAGAACGGCTGAACGGATCTAGACAAAATTTGACACGGAGATGGATTATAGTTTGGAATAGCACATAGATTACTTTATATCCTGGCAAAATGTACGGTCCCCGGATAGATTTGTTTTTCACAGAGTTTTTCTATTCGTTAAAACGTACCTAGAGTTGACTCGAGCGAAGTGGTGGTGGAGCGAGGGTGAGTCACTGGTACTTAATAATTATTATTTCTATTTAACATGTTAAAAATCTTAAAAGTATGAAATCTCTTTTTAATTTAGAATGAGAGCATACAATGACAATTGAATGATTCATATCCACACTAGATCGTATCGCTATGCACCTTTAGTTGCCACAGTTACTATAGCACAAAAGCCGAGCACCTTTCAAAATACCTGAATTATTAGATAACACCCAATGAAATTCAAGCCGGAATGAATTAGACTGTCAGTATCGCAGGTTAGAAAAAAGATCAAAAACAACAAACAAGGTAGATTTTTTCACACAAAACAAGGTAGGTTATTTATCTATTTATTTATTTAGGATAACCAACAGAACATTCACCTAAACCGTGCAAAAACTACGTGTCTAAATTTTACAATTGGTAAAGGTTGTTCTACTTAAAGGCTACCACGACAAGCGAGAACATAAAGAGAGGAAACCGAGACGGTTGCTTCATATATTGACTGTCCAGTGTATTACACATATTTAATTAACATTAGTTATCTATTGAGTCCACTTTATTGTTATAGATAGTCATTGTGTTAAGGTATTAAGTTAATAATATTAATTATTATATCATGTTATTACGATGTTACTATTTAATTGTGTTATAAGCAATTATTTAATTTTTTTATGAGTATCAAGGACCAAGACGTAGAACGCGTTACAGTTCACGTGCCATAAGGCGTCCAGATACTCTGCTGTGTGCGCGTGACTGTAATATTATCGTAGATAAATATTATAACAAATAAAAATATTGGAAATCAACGTAAGAATTATTTTCATCTACTGTGTTTTATTTTGCCCTCCACACAAGGTACAGTACACCTCTCGCGGTTCAACTATGATAATAACATAAGTCTCTTAATAATCGTATACAATTTACGACAGACAACAAAATTATTAAATTTATAAAGAATAAATTAAAGTTTGTTTTAAAATTAAAATATAGAATCAACTCCGAAGAATCTGAGTGATGAAAAAGCTCAAGTAATATCTTAAGTCCATGTGTTATATGGTAGTTTTAAGATTTATACGTAATATGAAAGAAATGACAATATATGTACATATGTAAAATGAACATAAATACGTTACAGTATTTTCAGTCAAACTCAGGCGGTCAGTAAACAAGTAAGCACGACAATCCGGTAAGAGATGATACTAAAAGTATTGTACAAGTAGCACAAAGCGAGCTCGCTAACGAGGCCGATAATTGCATTACATTCTCGAGCCGTTAGCGGAACAATCTCGGCAAGATTACGCGAGCTTGCCTGGAATTTGCGCTATTCACTTACAGCTACTCCTACCATCCATCCCGACTGACTAGGACGTCCCGCTCGAACTGTCAGATCTTTCAAAACTCCTATAATATGGGCAACATTCGTATTAACTTATTATAAGTTTAATATGATTTTATACATTTGTATAATTATGTAACATAATAAATAATAAACAAAATTTAACAAAAAGCTCCATTCATGTCAATATTTTTTAATTTTAAATAATTGTCTATTTTTTAATATCTATTCTTAGAGTTAACGAAAAAAGATAAAAATTTAACAAATCTAATAAATGTTATTTCCTCAAAATACGGTTTTTGAAGTTACCCTACGTACGGCCTCGGAATGTCGGATGAGATTTTTTATTTCAATCGTTCAGACGCGCCGTTGTCTCATTTTAACGCTGATTGCGAAAACACCGTAATAGAATTTAAAAGTTGTAAACATTTATGGGGTTTAGTTATATCCGCAGTTTATACGGCGTTTTTTAAGATTTTAAAATCGTTTTTCTATCCCAAAAATAAAGAAAAAGTGTGGCTTTGGTGAGGAAGATTAACTCTCTTTTTGAAAACTGAATTGATATTAAAAACTTAACATACTATATTTAATCATTTAATATATTGGGACATTAACACACAGCACCATCTAGTTCCATGGTAAGCTACGGGGCCTGTGTTATGGATACCGAATAGTTGATACACTACACATATATAAATTTAAATACATATATACTATAAATATAACACCCATGATTGGAGTACAAACATTCGTGCTCATCACACAAACGAACGCATGCCCCTGCGGAACGCGAGCCCGCGACCGCCGGCACTGCAAATAGGGTCACTACAAACTGAGCCAAACCAAAGTTAAATCTTAATAAATACATATTACAACGAGAAGAGAGACGAATGAACGTGAAAGGATACATATGACAAAACGCCTATCCATTTCAAATTGGCACGCGACCAGAACCGCAAAAGCCATATAAGTAGCGACATGAACTTTTCTCATTAATCCCATGACCGCGTAGAAGGCAATAAATGCTTGACGCGTCCGAGCCGTCTTGATTACTTCGCCCATTAGGTTTGTTCGAGTGGACTATATAACTTCTGAACTCTGGTGCATGTGAGCGGGCACTTTGCTGCCAAAACTGACTCCTAAGCAAATATCAAAACTAACTTGCATAGAAATCGTGACAAGTGTAGTAATTGAAACATATTTGTAAATAAATGCTTTTATGGGAACCTTGTCTCTCTTACTTTCAGAAATTGTACATAACAAGCTTTAAAGAAAATATAATCCCATGCAATTTACATAAAAAAGCCGAGTGAAATGAACATGCTTAGTAACTTTCCTAAAACACCGCAGCTATGTTTCGTATAAAGCCAAAATTTCTTTTTACGGCCACTAAAAACTTTTCACTAAAATTCTGCAGCGAAATAATCTTGGAAACAAATTCAGGTAAACAATGTGCCGTCTCGCTAACATATAATATACTGTTACACATAATGAACCTCGGCGGCAAACTTTTTACTTACCATCGTAAACTTTATATTCTAGATTTTAACAAAGGCCGCTGGTGTTCGCGCTCATTACGCCAAGCCTTACTCCGTCTCAACGCGGTGTCACCTTATCATGTTAGTTACGAACAGAGCGGAGACAGCTTTGTAGGAAAACTATAATAGATAAGCGAACTATAGATTTTAACTTCAAATTCTTATAACTGTACATCAATATTACTGATAACAGAAAAAAGCTTCTAGTGCGCAAAAGCGTTAACAATAAACGTAATCGTAAGTAAATTGTAGAAAATTTCCCAAAGCTCTACATTTTTACAAAAGGATATTCAAGTTTCCTTTTTTCCGATGTAATGAATGAAAACATACCAGCCCTTATATGTAACATCACTAAAGAGTACTGAAACACCCGAGCTCGTGTAATTGTACGAATGGAATTTGATTTCGAATACCTCCGTCGAAGCTCGGCAATCGAGGGGAAATGCTTGTGGGCTGATCTTCTTTGATGTTACGAATTTTGGTTACGTAGAATGTGCACAAAAGAATGTATTGTAGTGCCGTATCGTTACATTGACTTGGAAAAATAAAAAAAGTATAAATGATCTTAAAAGTTTTACTACAACGACCAATGTGAGGATTTCCAAACGTTTTAAAATGTTATATACAA